CTACAGGCTGTTCTACCCTCTCCTTTCCTGGGGGAAAAGGTCTTACTACTTGGTGAGTTGTGAAGATTCTGCCATCACCTCCTTTCCGTCTGGAAGGGGCTCAAATAACTAATAATGCATCCTGCTCACTGCCTGAGTGTCTCTGCCCCACTGCTGCCCCTTCATTCTCATGCTATGGCCTGGGAGTGGAGGACACATTAAGGAGACAGAGCATCATCGGGGTTAAAGCTGAACCTTTCTCCTCTAGATCACTCCTCCATAAAAGCCTCTTGGCTTTTCCTTGTTGTGTCCATGCTGCTGGAGATGGAGCATTCCCAGAAGGGGAGTGGAAAGCTGCTGGCTCTAGAAGCCAGTGAGCCACTGCAGAAGTGGCCACCAGTACACAGGCAGAGAAATTGCGGGATGAACTCTGCTCCATCTGGAGTGCCCAGGATAGAGGCTGCTCCCTGAGAACCAGAATACTGGGGGATGTGAGGAGAGACTCTGCTTCCCTCGTGCCTGAGCTCCGCTCCTAATCATCTGTGCCTTTTTCCCCTCTAGTGAAGGTGACTCTGGATCCAGCCACGGCTCATCCCCACCTCATCCTGGCTGAGGATCGGAGCAGCATGACACGGGGAGACAAACTGCAAAAACTGCCTGACAATGCGGAGAGATTTGATACACACCACTGTGTGCTGGGCTATGATGGATTCAGTGCAGGAAGACATTACTGGGAGGTGGAAGTGGAGGACGGGGGATTTTATGCTGTGGGGGTTGCCAGAGCATCTGTGCGGAGGAAGGGATGGAGCAGACTTGACCCTGAAGCAGGGATCTGGGCTATATGGCACTTGTCAGGTAGCTACTGGACTCTCACCTGCCCTCCAACTCATGTGATGCTGAACCAGGTCCCCAGAAAAATCCGTGTCTCTCTGGACTATGAAGGGGGGCAAGTGGCATTTTTTGATGCTGCTAATGGAGCCCCAATTTTCATTTTCCCAAAGGTTTCATTTGCTGGGGAGAGGATTCACCCTTGGCTTTGGGTCTGGGAAAGGGAAGCCAAACTTGGACTGTGATGGTCTGGCCTACACCCTGAGGTCTGTTCTAGCATTAACGGGGACTGGCTGGATTTGGATAAAAAGCCTAGGATCTATGTGGATAAAAAACCCCTATCCTATTGCTTGTATGGATCTGCCCTGGGAATCACTTTTGCTTCGCACACACAGGGTTTGAGGACGTAGTCAGTGACTTAGGCTTAATGTTTGAGGAACTTTTCACAAGCGCCTAGAGCTCCAATATGGCAACAGTGATTCTTGCAGAATGGTACTGACAGGCTGCCACTCACAAGTCCTGTACAAGTCTTCATGGGCATGGGTGTTGTTCTAATGCCATTAGTAAAAGTGTCCTCTAAGTTTGCGGATCCAGTTTCCACAGGTTGCTGTTACTAAATCTGCTTCTCTGCTCCCTTCAGCTCTGACACACTCTTGCTGGAAATAAAGCACCCAAACCAGTTCTTTTTTCTTCTCCTCTTCTTTCCCAGCCTCAGTTGCTGGGGACAGAGCCTCGGGATTTGCTTCCCCCTTGAATCCTTCCTATCCCAACAGAGAATAGCCAGGCAGTGGGCATGTCTACATGTGCATATTAAAGCATAGTAAACTCCAGAGCATGGTGTGTTAGAGTTTATTGCACCTGGGTACCACGTTTGCATGTGCACCTAGGACCACAGCACGTTGAGTTGGGTTGGAGCAGCCCCAGCAGGCAGGGGGCTCCAGAGGTCCACCTGCTAGCCCAGGGCTGCTCTGACCCAGCTTAATGTTCTGCAGAGGGGCTGGCTGGGGCACAAGGGTGCTTCAATGCAGGGCTAGCCAGCAGGCAGGCCCTGCACTGAAGCACCCTCATGCCCCAGCCAGCCAGGTCAGCATCTGCATGTGTGTTGCTGTGCACAAAAAAACTCCACAGCAGGATAGTACTTGTAAGTGCAAGTACTTCCCTGCTGCAGAGTTTATTAGTTCTCTGGGGCCTAAGGGGCACGCATGTGTAGACACAGGTGTTTACTGTGGACTTAATGAGGCAGCTCTTCAGTAAACATCTCATATGGGCGCACCCTCTATCACTAAAACAAGAGCCTGGGTTTTACTGTGATGTGTTACCTGCTTTCTCTTTCTTGTATTGCATACAAGCCTGTGTATCTGGACCTCTTCAGCAGCACTGTAGGGAGAGGTGACTTCTCACTTGGTCTGACTCTCCTCATTTCCAGGTGTCCTGAGCTGGATTTGAATTTGGCTGCAGACATGTGAAACACATGGTTTGCATTTCTTCTGAACTCCAGCAATTAATGTGGCAGCTACAGGGCTATTGGATTTCTCTTAGTATCTGCCCCAGTTTTACAACCAGGTAACGAAGGTCTTTGGCACAGGTTACCCATATAATGGCAGAAATCTGTGGAATGTCATGATGTCATAACATTTCCGTGTTTTTAAAGCAGTCTCAGGAAAAGGCTTCATGTCATTTCAGACCTGCAGTGTGACTTCCCACTACAAGGTCGGTGAACAGGGGAGTGGACAGGAGCCAGGACTCTGGGAGAGAAGAGGGGAGGGTGGCATGTAGCTGGGCAGCAGAGAAACCAGCATGGGGCCTTCCCTTCCTCCACATCCAGCAGGAGTACAGGGTGGGAGGGGAAATCTTGAAAAACTGAAGTGAGGCAGCTGAGGAAATGAAGAGAAAGACGGGCGGAAAAGATTAAGAATAAATTAAAGGACTAAAATATTGCACGTGTCTCTGTGAATTGGGATTGGGTCCGAGGGGTGAGCTGGTTTAGGGGCAATAGAGGTTGTGCTGGTTGGGAGCGGGTGCTGTGCTGCCTTGGGTGGCAAGTGTGCTTTCCCTGGCTCCAGAGTCCCTCTGCTGTTAAACCACTCCTCGTGCCCAGCAGCCATTTCAGCTTCAGCCCAAGTGCAGAGCTTGGGGGGGCGCGCTGCTTTTCTGGGGCTCTCTGCTAGGGATGAAACTGAGGCAGCCCCTCTGCACCTAGACCAGCCAAAGCACAGAGCCCCAGAGACCATGTGGCTCGGGGAAGCAGTCTTCCCCAGCTCCGTGGTCTCTGCTGTTAAGCTCAAAGAAGTTTCTTTAAGTAGGAATGGGTGGAGTGTGGGTGATGGTTTGGAGGGTAGGAAGGGGTAGAGTGGCTAAGAGCGGTGCATCCTGGGATGCTGGAGGAATGAAAGTAGTGCTTTGCCTCCCCTGACCATTCAGACAATGTTCTGGAACAGCATGAGGCAAAGATTTCCAACATAAGCCTCCTTTTCAGTGGCTTATCTTTAAAACATACTGATGGCAGTTTAACACCCCTTAACTAATGACTGCTTTTGTTTTAATTGCTATATTGATGCTTTTAAGGTAACTTGTGCCAAGTCCCTGAGCCAGCAACAATGGGCTTTTGTACACATGCTTGTGCCGCAGTGCCGGGCGCTTTTACAAGTGGACAGACAGCCCGCTTCATCATCAGCTTCTCCTTGAAGGGAGCTGATCTGTGTGCATCTGCTGTTAAAGCTGAATTCTTAATTATGAAAATGTGGGTTTTACTCCTTGCAAAATTCATCCCAGGGAAAGGTTATTTAATGGCGGTGGGTGACACTTAGTAGGGTGTTCACTTCCCCCCTCTTTGGGTCTGACCCCGCTCCCCCCCTTTGGCTTGGACCCCGCTCCACCCCACTTCTCCCCCCCTGCTTCAGCTCT